TTCTCTTTATCTTCTCAATTTCAGCAGTTAAACTCATCAATCAATGTCTTGATTTATGTGATAGGCCTATATTTAAGATGAACATTTACAACAAATTAAAGATATCTTATATTATTATATATGTTATTATAAAATATACTCTAATTAAAGAGTTATTAATACTTCAAGTGCACAATGATGATATAAAACCTTGATAAAAATATACTTTTAAGTACTAATCACACCTCCAAGCCAGCTTATTACTATTCCCTAGCAATCAAAGTGTTAAAATAGAAAAATAATTTACAAGTTTCACAAAGCAAGGCATTCATCATTTAACTTTCATTAATATATCCAAATAAACAAACTCTCATTAAATTTATATATCTACTTCATACTTCTTAAACAAAATATTAATAAACTTTTATTTTTTCCTTAATATATCAACATATAGTTATGATTCATATGGCAATAAAGAAGTTTTTACAAGGTGATGATGATATTATATTAGTCATATAAAAGAGCTTGCTTATTCCTAATGGTAATTATGATGATGATTGGCTATGCGTTAATCTTTTTCATTTGACTTGTACCATCAAAGATAAGAGATGTAATTTGATTATTGATATCGATAGCTAAAAGAAAGTTGTGTCAATCAAGGAAGTACACAAGTTAAAGATCAAGATAAATAAGCAAACTAAACTCTATACACTGAATCGGCTTAATTGAGACAACATAGTAATCATGAACAAATGATGTGTTGTTTTGTTTTTTTATTTAAATAGATATTTTAACAGTGTTTGTTGTGATATGATTGATATCTATGAATATGTGTTATTTACTATCATGACAATATGACAAGAATATCATGCATGATGAATAACATGACATATATATGCCCTTTGTATAAAAGGAGAAAAGCATTGGTACCTAAAAGAGTTAGGAAAATTGTTAATAGTAAAGATAAAAATTATTGTTTTTATCCTAATTTATGAAAGGAAAACAAGAAAGAGAAAAAGAAGAATATGAATAATTATAATGGTTTAGGAAAGAAAACAATGTGCAATAGATCATTAAAAATTACTAATAGTTTTACAAAGATTACGAGTGTTTTGAAAATAATTATTGATTTGTTTTATGTGAATTGAATGAATTAACTATATAGTGTGAGATGCATTTTCTAGCGTAATTAAGACTTGAATTGGTTTTTCCTTTAATTTTATGTTTTTTAGATTGTTGAATTTTAGATTTATTTAGGGACTTTAAACCTTTTAAATAGAAAAACAACTAAAAGATAAATATTTATTAATAAAATTTCAAATTAAGATTTTATATAATGACTCTATTTGATAAAATGTTAGATTTTTTTTTTGTTCTCCTAATACATCATACTATATATTTCTAGTAGAAAGTTTTGAAAAGCTTAACATAAGAATGGGTGAAGATGTAGTGACCAGGGCAAGGTGAGTTTTTTTTTTTTTTGGTAGAATTGAGTCCATTTCTCGTAAACATAAAAGTATCCATTTAGCTCAAGTAGTAAAATTAGAAAGTTAGAATATGGGCCTTAAACAAAAGCTTTAGCATCTTTAATAGTAAAAGCCATTTAAAAAAATCAAATTATTAATATAATGTTTTGAATAATATAAATATAATTTTAATGGGAAAAAGTCATCCTAACAACCTATTTATACATTAATATATTTGATATTAATATTTTTGGCTTTTTTGAGAAAAGTTGAGGAGATGAAAAAAATATTTAAATAATCTATTTTAATGTTTTTGACTTTTTAATATATATATATATATTATTTTGGTTTTTTATTTGGCTATTCTTTTAAAGCTAGAAACCAAGAAGAAGAAAAACTAAAATTTATTTTATTTTATTTCTGGTCTTCATTTAACTCTTGCGTTGAGGATGTCTTTAAAGCCAGTAGCAAAACCTGCAAGTGGAGTGGATAACATGGGAAACAATTAGAAGTCAGAAACAGTTTTAACCAAGCACGGATACGAAGACAGACGAAACTATAAACAGAGAAAGAAAGAGAAAGAGAAGGGATCTACAAAATGTTAAGAACAGTAACAGCACCGTCATTATCTTTTTCTTCTTCTTCTACTTGTCTCATTGTCTCAGCACAGAATAATTCTTATCTTATCCCACATTCCTTGAAACTTTCTTCCCCATTGATTGGTAATATTAACAAGAGTAATAGTAACAGAATAGTCACTTGCAATTACAATCCTTCAAGAAGACTGGCTCTTTTTCAACTTGGAGCTGGTAAGCTAGAACCCTTCACTTCTCTTTATCCTTTACTACTAAATGTTATATTTGCTAATGCTTAAACTGATATTAAGTATACCGGGATTCTTTATAGTTATCCCACAATTACAGTTCTTAAGTGGAAACTTAGCACCCGCAAGAAGTAGTGATGTTACTGGCCAAAATGTGCTAGAGTGGGTCAAGAATGACAAAAGAAGAATGCTTCATGTCGTTTATAATGTTGGGGACTTGGACAAGACTATAAAGTATGTCTCTTTAGTTCCTTTATTTGATGCAAAGATTGTTCTTTCTTAGCGTAGCAATGTGAGGTTTGCTGTAATTGTGGATAATTTTATGGTTGCTAAATGGGGATTTGCAGATTTTATACTGAATGTCTGGGAATGAAGCTGTTAAGGAAACGTGATATACCTGAAGAAAGTTTTAGCAATGCTTTTCTTGGATACGGACCTGAAGGCACTAACTTTACTGTTGAACTTACTTATAGTGAGTAATTACCCTTTTTTCGATTTTTATCAGTAATTGGATTTGTGTATTATCGTTTTATGCAGATTTTTGTATCGACATTTGGTGCTTCAAAAGATTTTTTGGTCTTTTCAATTTTTCTAATGCTCGCAGATTATGGAGTTGACAAGTATGACATTGGAGATGGGTTTGGACATTTTGGTATTGCAGTAGAAGATGTAAGTTACTCTTTCTTAAAAATTGTTTGCTTGCCCGGAATTTGATTGCTGAACGTATTCTTGAAATACTTGCTTGCATGAATATTTTTACTTGCTGAAAAATTTAACAATCTCTCACAATGCCGTACCACAAATAAAAAAAATAAAAGAGAGGTTTTGAATTTCATGGGCTTGCAATCCAGCGAATTGTGAGGTGACTAGGGAGTTGTAATGTCAATTTCATAAGGTCAAATTCATGAACTTACGCTGGGTATGTATTTAATTTTCATCAATGCAGGTTGCCAGGACAGTTGATCTTGTTAAGGCAAAGGGGGGCAAGGTTACTAGAGAACCAGTTCCTGATAAAGGTGGAAGTACAAAGATTGCTTTTGTTGAAGACCCGAACGGTTATAAGTTTGAGCTCTTGGAGAGAGGCCTTACGCCTGAGCCCCTGTGCCAAGTGATGCTTCGAGTGGGTGATCTTGACCGCTCCATAAATTTCTATAAGAAGGTAATCAGTAATTCATGCTGGCAGAAGCTTCTATGTTCAATGAAATTAGTTAGTTGCACTTGCTTCTTCAGCTGTCATCACTGGACACTGCCTGGAGTTCTGATGCTTTCCTTTTCTTTTTTATCGTACTGATGTTTTTCTTTCTTGAATTTGAAGTCTTTTGGCATGGAGCTTCTACGCAGAAGGGATAACCCTGAGTACAAGGTAAAATGATTGCCCATTCTGCCTCGCATCAAATGGCATTGGTTTTTTTCTTTTCTTTTTCTGGCCATCTGCATAACCAATGGAATATATGGGTCAGTTTTGATCTAAGTTGCTAAGAAACTTGACACTGCTGCACCAAATTCATGGTTTCTATTACACCATTTTTGTTATTTATTTGGTGTCCTTGAAGTTATCAGTTTTTCTCTACAGAAGCATTTCCCATTTTCCTCAAGTGCATTGTAAGACATAATATGCCAGTCTAATTGGGTGGTTGTTATTTCTACCTTCACAGTATACGGTAGCCCTGATGGGTTATGGTCCTGAAGATAAAAATGCAGTGCTGGAGCTGACGTATAACTATGGGATTACAGAATACAACAAGGGAAATGGTTATGCGCAGGTAAATTCTTAGCTTCTCCAGCAGCATATACTACAGTAATCTAGTTTCGCACCATTTAAATCATTCTTGCCGACCATGGTCACGTATTATGTCATATCTTTTAGTCTTCTCATCTGGTTTTTATTCTATGTTGTTATATGTGAAAATTCACTGTTTATATCTCTCTACCAGATTGCCATAGGCACAGATGATGTCTATAAGAGTGCAGAGGCTGTCAAGCAGTGTGGAGGGAAAATTATCCGTGAACCTGGGCCTATACCAGTTATCAACACCAAGATTACTGCTTGCTTGGATCCTGATGGTTGGAAATCGGTATGTTTTTTTATATTTTCTGTTTATCTTTTGCTATCATGGTTCTCTAACTGTATCTATAAGTATTTCTGACTGTAGTTTCCTCTACATAAAAAGTCATCTAGTTTTTACTTTCTCGTGATTTGTTGCTTTGGCCAAATTCATAGTTTCTTGAAGATTGGGATTTGTGATTACATAATAGGGTAAGTGTACAAGGAAAATGCTTCTTTTTTTTTTTCCAGGAAAATCTTGGGCTATTGAAACCTAGAAAGTTAGTTAAAAAATTCTTATGTGCTTGTGCTCTGTGAGGAATTTAGATGTGAATTGAGTTCACCCTGGCTACGAGAGTCAGCGATTGCACTAACAAAGTCAGCGAAGATTTTGTAATGCCTTTGTCGAGAATTTTTTTTCTAGTGGATAATCATTTATAAATCAGTTGATGATCCGAGACAATATTGATTAGAACAGGACATATGCAAACTAATTTCCTTATCGTCCACTCATGCGAGATGAAGAGATCAGCTTAAAATATCCAATTTTTGGTTTACGTATAAATGATTTCAAGGGTAGTTTATTCTCTATGGTAAGATGTGTTAATGCACATGAAATGATCTGTTGAGCTTTCCTCGTCTTGCAGGTCTTCGTTGATAATGTAGACTTTTTGAAGGAAATGGAGTAACCATGACAACTGCAACATTTCTTTATTAAATCCATAGGAAGATTCTTGACAATTTTGACAGCCTCCTTTTCTCACCAGAAACCCCTCAATTTACCATGTACATATATGATTGTAACGGTTGTTATTAGTGCAATTCTTGTTGCCCTCGCCCAATACATGTCAACTAAGCCTGAGATGCAATTTCCATGTTAATTGCTTTGCAAAGTCTAAATCTAGTTTTGCAGCAATCCGAAATTGTTGTGGATTTTATGTTAGGCTGGTACGGCAATTCAGCATATGCTGAATCCCCTCCGTCCACATCTGTTTGTCAGCCTTGCTGCATTCAAACTCTATAACTCTTTCAACCGTTTTTATCGCAAAGTAAGCTCTACGCCCACTCCAGTCTCCCTTATCCCTTCCAGGCCATGCTAGGATGTCAGCGTAGACTCCAGAGACTACACCTGCAATTACAGCATAGCTATAATCAGTTGATGGACGAAGAGAGGTAATGGGATTTGTTCTGGGTTTGAGACTCTGCTTACACTTTTTCTTTTTTGTGAATGTTCCTCCCATGTGCGTACTTTTCATTTTAACTATCACCTGCTTCAATTCAATTTTTTAGTTAAGAAAAATGCAAGAAAACGTTATAGAGAAAATTAACAAAACCCACAAAATTAGCTTTTATGTCCTAAAGAGAGTGGGAAATTGATTCAATTCGTTGCTTGGAATGGTTAATATAGCTGCATGATGCATTGCATGTCCCCTGCCTTTTTACCTGCCAATTTGAGTTGATGTTAAACGAAACTCGTTTCCAATGAAGAGCTCCTGCCATCAATATTTGTGTGATGGTTAGTGCGGGTTCCAGCTTGCTTATGGAGCATGTTAATGTAACTGTACCACTAAATCATGAACCTTTAGAGTATCAACTTTTCAAAACTTGTACCTTTCCTTGTACGCTTGAGAAGCTCTCCTCCTTTAGTCACAAAGTTCAGTGCAGCTGTGATGTTTGCTTCTTTGTCTTCTTCGCCCTTTTCCTCCCCCAGAGCAAAGGCTGTAGTTCCAGGCCCCTTTTGCATCCTTGCCCTTAGTGTGGCTGCTCCTCTCAAGGCTGCATTTGTAAATGTTTTCATAAAGTAGGCATCACTTCATATCATTTAGGAATTGTAACATCAACAGGAAAGTATTCGATTCCTTGAGTTAGTTTCTTCCCGCCATGCCCCATTTCAATCTTGAATGGTGCCCACTTGAGGTCTAATTGCATTTTAGCCTCTAGGTTTTATACCTAATGTCATTGTGTATCATCTTTAGATGCACTTGTGAATTTGTCGTGTCTTAAAAGTAAAGACGACGGAATTTTGAACCATAAAGGCTTGATATAATTTATGGGCAATTGAAGTAATATTCTGTCACCTGTAGCTGCTCCAGCTGTTAGGGTCATGACATCTCCATTAGTCCTTGCATTAATTGCAGAGTTGACAACAGTTAAGATTTGGTCATGATCAGCTCCCATGTCCTCTGCAATCTCAATGCAGTGAGATGCTACTAAAGCTGCTGCTGATGCCACCGCAGAAGACAGTTTGGAAGGCGTCTTCTTCTGGGTTGCTGCCAATTCTGCTGACATTGCATTTGAAGCAGCTAGTGCAGCAACAGCAGCAGCAACCCCTGCCACAGATACAGCTGCATGCACTTGAGCATTTTGGGTTCTGATCTCCTGCTTCTTCCTCTCTTTCTGATCCTTCAGCCATCTTCCCATCGTTCTCCCTTTTAATATGCTCTTGTATAGCTGCAGAGAGTAAAGCAATAATAAGCATACATAAAAAATTAAAAAAAAAGGCTTGCGAGTTGATATATTTTGCTGAATTTTAATAATAAAGTACCCCATTTTTTAGCAACTGCTGACTGGAAAGAAATTCTGGAGTGAGTGCTTGATGAAGTAAAAATAATTCCTGCATCAGTGCATTTATTGCTATTAGAAGTGTATAGAAACAATTGTTTAGTGTTGAGCTGGGAAAGGATCCCAAATTCACTGATTTCCTATGGGTCATATATAGTCATTTTCAATTGTTCGGTAGCATTCCAAAGTAACACTAAAGGAGAGACAATAAACGCTACCTTCATTTCTTCACTGTCTCTTGGCGAGATCGGAGGGCTGCCAGTGCTACCACCACTTGGGAACTGCTGGAGCAGCTATAATATTTAGGTTTGAGGAAACATGTAAAAGAAAAACATGACAGGCATTGAGACGCTATTTCATATTGAATAATCAATCTATCAGTTTCATGTAATTTTTTGAAGAAACCAGTAGACAGTTGCTCACATAGAACATCCTACTTAACTCGAACAAGCCCCTTCGTTCTGGGGAAATGTGTGACTGCATCATGAAGACATAACCAGCATTTTTTAAAAGCTTGTATTAAAGCTAAGGATCTTACTGATTCCTTCGAAGTTGTGGAGCTTGCATCTTGAGCTTCAGCTTCAGCGGAACAAAAACATGAAGCCTTCTCAACATTATCGATGGCCACATGAGTATTGGAAAGAGCTTTAGAGAGCTCCATAGCTGAAACGCTCCATGATCTTGCAAGGAACTCCATAGACTCAGTAGGAGTTTCAGGTGCAGCACATGATACTGGTAGCCAAGAAGCAGGGCCATTTTCATCAATGTTTTCCAGCTTTTGTAACAAGGTCTTAGTGCTGCAAGAACTCACTGAATCACAAAAAAAAAACCATGAAGTTAGTGCTCCATTTTACACAGCAAAAAAAAGCATACTCTAAAGTCATGAAAAAAGCTTACTTCTAAGCTTTGCTACATCACTTTGCTGAGACTCAAGTATCTGGCCTTCGGTGCAACTTCTCATGGTAAAGAAGAAAAAAGCAAGAACCAGGGTAATGAAGAGAGGAAGAATAGTGGGATATTTAAACATGAGCCTTAAAAAAGGATCGAGGCACACATTCTTTGCAACAAGAAAAGGGGCCCTCAATAAAGATAGTTCATCTTTGTCCTCAACTTAAGCAGTACTTGCTTTTGATCTCCACTCTTTTGTGCTTGATACATAAAGAGCTAAAGACCCTTTTTTTTTTTCTTGAGCGGCTGGATTCATGATTGCTAGGATTCTCCTTTGTCTCCACTATCACTGTAAGGAAAGAAATGGGATCTTGTCAAGAGAATGCAAGCATCATTCGTGAATAGAACAACTGCTCTATTTCCATCTAAATTCTTTTCACCATCAGGTAAAAAAGCAAGCACAATCAAGAGATGAGATTAAAAAACAATCCCTTTTCTGGTTGCTATTAAGACAACAAATTGAACGCTTGGTGAAAGTATATAATTGCATAGAAATTGGAGTATAGGAGGAAATTCCTCCTTTATTTGAATTACAGAAATAGGAAGGGGAAAAAGTTGCTATTAAGACAACAAATTGAACGCTTCGTGAAAGTATATAAGTGCTTAGAAATTGGAGTATAGGAGGTAATTCCTCCCTTGTTTGAATTACAGAAATAGGAAGGGGAAAAGGAAGTGCTTGAGAAGAAAGCTTTCAGACTCAGAGCATGTGGGTGATGTAGGCCACATTTTCAAGCTTCCACATTTTTAACCCCTCGCATTCATTTTCCCTGCTTTTTGCCTTGACCTGTGCTGACTGAGCCTTTTTGACTCCAAAAGAACAAAAATTTTGGCACTACTGTCTTTTCGAAACAAGGAAAAGAACACCCTTCATTTTCAGGTTTTGTGATAAGTCTAAAATTATTCTGCATTTTCCTAACTGTAGCTTTCTTTTAAACATGATTGGTTGGAATGAAGTTGATTTTTAATATTAGTACACAACAAAACTATTTAAAATTTTAATTCAATCGGTTCAATAAGAATTAACTTGAAATAATTAAAAAATAAAGAATATTTAAATCAATAACACATCAAATCATCATTAAACTAATATTTAAATGTAAAAGAGAATTAGCATCTTTCCCGATAAAAACATTTATAGCCTGCAATATTACAGATATTTATAAAATCACGAGGGGATAACTTAATTAATTATATTTTGAATTTATTTTTTAATCATTATAAATTTAAATATTTTTAAGGTTATTAAAGATTTATATTATTATTAACTTTAAAATTTATAAATTTAATTTAGACATACACAAGTTAATTCAAATATTTACAATAATAAAAAAAATACATAGCCCTTATCAAATTTTGATGGCGAAGACAAAATTAAAGATTTATATTATTATTAACTTTAAGATTTATAAATTTAATTTAGATATACACAATAATAAAAAAAATAAATTACATAGACCTTATCAAATTTTGATGGCGAAGACAAGTGACAACCTCGCGAATCCAATGAATCACGAAGCCAATTTAGATTATCCAAACATAGATTACAGTGAACCGGGAAAAAAAAAAAAAAAAGTTTAAACGAACACCACCCGACCGGTCACTGAAAATCTAGGAAATACGATTAAAGTGGCCGGCCGGCTTGGAAACTGCAAATGATAATCAGCTTGCCCAAAACCTGTGATAATCCGGTACGGCCATTTAAATTGAAAATAGGTCCAAAAAGGGAAGTCTTCTAGGAAAAAGCATCTTTTTTTTATTCAAAATAATTTTTTAGGAATTGAAAATAGGTCCAAAAAGGGAAGTCTACTAGGACAAAGCATCTTTTCTTTATTCAAAATAAATTTTTAAGTGTTTTTAAATTGTTTTAATGTGTTAATATTAAAAATAAATTTTAAAAAATTAAAAATATATATTATTTTAACACATTTCAAAACAAAAAACATTATAAATTTTTGGAATTTTTATGTCCCGCTGTTGAGAATAAAATTAAAAATATTATTTAATATATTCCTGAAAAAACAATTAAAAATATATATTATTTTAATATATTCCAAACAAGAAACACTATAAATTTTTGGAATTTTTTATGTACCGCTGTTGAGAATAAAATCAAAAATATTATTTAATATATTCCTTAAAAAAAAAAAAGAATTTAAAAAGCAATCCCTGTACTTTGTAGCTACAAGGAAGACCTACCAAAGCGCGGGTATCTCTGCATTTGCTTTTTTTTCATCATTTGCTTTAAGTCTCATCATGTCTAGCACTTCAAGGTCCCACACCCCATTACCCTGTAAATTCAGTGATTAACCCACATAGCTACTTAATTAATTCATCACCTTCCAGATTGATACTCGTTTTAGGGATCCACAGAGGCTACAGTGTGGGCAGGCTATGATAACAACAATCTATATTATTTGTAGACTCGCACGGACACAATTTGGACAAGCTTATTTTAGAACAGAACATCATCCATCAAAATAATGTTGATACCTTCAACCGCATTATATCCTTTCAAGAAAAATAAAAAATTAAATAAAAGGGTGAGCCCCAAATTCTACCTTGATTCAGGGACTAAACTAAGACATGTGTCAATTGGGTCTTCTAAGTATTCACCTCAAACAAGAAAGTCTAATTTCACCCAAAATTGTATCATGTTATTCCATATTAAATGCATTTAGGGAAAAGAAAATGTACAAACATGGACAATGATACAAGAGAGAGGTTGTTTAAGAGTGTAAAAGTTGTTTTTCAATATACTCTTCGCTCAAGAATACATCCAAATAATTCTTGTTTTTATTTTTTAAAATTTATTTTTTATATTTGTACATTAAAATAATTCAAAAATATTAAAAAATTAGTTTTAAGCAAAAAAAAAAATGAATCTTAGGCAGCCTCTATTTAAACTGTAATTCTAAATAGGGGCTAAGAACAAAACATTTTTTTTGGCATAAAACAAATTGACCACATTGAATGTCAGATTCAGAGAAATGGTGTAAAAAGAATACCCTTTGGTCATGAAAAATAATTTTTTTGTTCATGATACTTATGCTAAAAATGCGATGCAAGAAATGGCTGTGGTGGTGAATATTTGTTGGTGGCAGACCAGAAACAACGGCTGTGGCAGCAATGATACTATCCATGATGACGAGGGCAACCATGATGGGGGATCATGAGGTAGTATAGCATGTTGAAGACAATGCAGGTGACTAGTTCAGTCGCAGTGAATTCACTGGCATTGGTGCGAACGAAAACTTAATCATAGTAATTATACCAAGAACTATACATGGCTTAAGCGTGGGTGAATCTCATATCATCTATGTTTCTGTCGGAATATTTAACTACACAAATGAAAACTCTACCGAATAAATGAACAGAGGTCGAGTGTTACCCTTTCAACTCATAACAGTCTAGAAGGTAGAACTTCTCGTCTTGCACCATGATCAAGGAAGAGAAAACAGTAGCCTTGTAGTGTGCCCCATGGGAGCCTGTAGCACTGAAATGATCCAGGGGCCGCATGGAATTATTGCAACATTATAATGGAGCACGACTTCTAAAGATAAAATTGAGAATTTTGCACCCATAATGGTGATTGGTGGAGCATATCAAAGGAAAACTAAATTATCAATACCTCATAATCTAGAACAAATCGGTCATTTCTGATTGAAAAACCATTGAAAAAGAAAATGTCAATGCCTCTGGTTTCTATTCAATCCAGAGCTTTATTTAAAAGTAAATTACCTGCGGCTGTTAGTCTATCAGCTGCCTCCTCTGCTGGTAGTAGAAGTAGCTTAGCTCTCCAAAGATATCAAGCATTCTGCATAACATAATTCTTCAAACCTGTGTCAGTGTCAATGAGTTTCATATTCCTATAGAAGCAAACACATGAACAAATAATGAAGCATACATCACAGATTGAAAGTAAATTTAAATGTGAGACATGGTATGAACCCACAAAGGACGACCTTGTTAATAATTTTTAAGATATGCATTATGAATACGCTTCTCTTCCATTTCCCTATGGAATTTCTGAAGTATCCATCATGTTCTTCGTGTGGTATCCTTGTCACAACTGTCAATGACAGTTTGAAACATCTACTTTTCACTAGACCTAACTCACAAAACTGATTCTTATTCTTAGACAACAATAATACTTTGTAACATGTCAATCATCTGAAGCAGGACGGAGTGAACGAGGATGTACTTTCTTTCCCTGGCAATTTAGAATGGCAAGAAGAATTTTAAATCTCGCTTGGATCAAAATTAAGAGTGAAAGATGTTGATTACCTCAATCCGTAGGATTCACAGCTTTCCAGAATCCACACACCAACTCAAAGATGGATATCCAAGAAACCATCTTCATTTGCATCCATACTTCCAGCAGCTTTTTCCACTCAGTAAATGAATTTCATACAATACTTTAACTATATCAATCTGAAAATGGAAATATAAAGTTGCTAAAGAAAATGGTTTCCCAAAGCTTTATTGCAAGGTGAAAAGATGATGGTGAGAAAGCTCCACAAGAGCAGGCAAGATGACATGGCACCTGAAACACTTGATTTTTTTACTTTCAGATTATGAAGGATGCGAGTACCATAATTCAAATTAATCCAGGTAAAACTCCAAGGTTTGGATTGAAAAATAAAGCACTAATAACTAAAAGTAATTTGTTTTGAATTAGATAAATACATGTCAAAACAGCCATACATCATCCAGAGATAGAGGAGCAAAAGAAACAATATACATATCCTCAATTGAACAATAAATGTCAAAAAGGCCTAACCATTTTTCCATCTTGAACAACAACAAAAAAAAAAAAAAAAAAACATGCTTTGATAGGCCCAGCGCCATCCAATGTGTCTCCTTGTAGTCACCTTCTGAATACATAAAACAATTTGACATATCCTTGAGCATAGAGATTGAGCCATCGAAACTTCATGTCAGTGACAAGACTATCCCTGGATTCTGTCTCCCAAATTACAGCTGCAAATACACAGTAAAGCTCAGTAGTTGATCAAAAAATAGTATACAAGGTTTCATAGCAATCATGTCCATGAAAACATTTGAAAAACAGTAAAAACGCAAGAATGACATGTAACATACAGAATAATTTCTGAAAGTGCAGTTGCCATACCAATTACTTGGCTGAAGAAATTCTCATCAACCTGCTTGAAGCACCAGCTCTGTTCCCAGCCCCACGACCACTGCTCACAGCATCAGTTGAGCCATCTAGTTTCATAAAATCCCTTCTGGATGCACTGGGTGGAGCAATTGACGGCATTGATGCATTGGTCATATTCTGCAACAATAAAATCTCAAATAGCTATGATCCACAAAATTTCTAGCACACTGATTCTGGTGACAGTAACAATTAGTAAGAAAGAAACTGTCGTCAAACACATAGAAGTTGCATTGAAATACAACACTGGCTATGCATTCTAGCAATATACAGGCAAATGAAGAGAACATAGAGAAGACATAATACTAAAGATCACAAGAAAAGATGACTCACATGTTTGTCAATTGGATTATCAGCAGTTAAATTCCAAGAAAATGACGAGCCAGACTGCATATGAGCATCTGGACAAGCAACTTTATTTGATCCTCTGTGATCAGTAACCTCAGCAAAATAAGAAGCACCACTGACCCCTGAAAGTAAAAAAATTGAACGTAAAATTTAATATGTTGTGCAAAAATCACACAAAACTAGATGAACTTCTAGAATTCAATAGAGCAAAATCTTTCAAATCCTAAACAAATAAGTTTCGCATCACCCTTCTCCATGATCTCCTGTCCACCAGAGAACTTTCCCTGGTTCATTCAACTGCCTCTTTAGTTGAGACTCCAATAAACTAATGCTGAATAGAAAGAAACCACACAAAAAAAGGAATACAAAACCTAAAAACAGCTTTCTAGATTCCCCATGGGTCAAGGCAAAAGGAATACGAAACATAAAAACAGTTGCCTAGATTCACTATGGGTTGAGGCTTGAACAAAAGTCCAGTATAACCAAGAAAAAAAAGGAGTAGAAAAGGTTCTACTTGGGTATTACTGTGTTAGAATGGTTAACTATTGATTTCCCCAAAATCTAATTGAGGTCATTGCATCATTGTTGAACTTCTACCAAGCCATTGCAGTACAACAGATTAACATTTGACATCTAGCATCACATGTTAGTGTTTCCAGAAATGATTTTTAAAATAACCTACAAACAAACTATCAAGAACAAGTTCACCTTGAGATTTCAAACCATCATTTCTACTCTTGTATTTCTATGCTTGAGCTTACTACAACAACCTGTTCCCATGCAAGTGAATTGATAATCAATGTGTTCTGTTAAAATGGACTGGATTCAGTTTATTAAGGTGTTTAACATCCCTTGGCATCCTCACACACCCTCTGCAACAAGCCAAACCCCTCTTTCTTACCAAAAAATAAAAGGAAGCAACATGATAGAAATATTTTCCATCAAAATTGCGGTGACAGTTCAATCATAAATAGTTAAAATGATGTGAAAAAGCAAACTCCTGCCAAGTGTACAAGACCTAGATAAACAAGATGGAAATTTAAACATGAACAGACTGGGAATCCTTGGGCTTTTACCTTTACCCTTATCAAGAGCCATTGCCATTGCTCGACTGCCTGTCACTCTAGAATTCGGCTGCAAGTCCTGGAAGATCTCACATGAAAGTATTAAATCAAAAAAAAAAAAGATTTAATAAGCCACTCCAGAAGCAAAGTGAATTAGTTTACTGGATGATTTGAAGACAATTTATGAATAAATGAAATAGAGCAATATTGCAATCTCATGAATAAAGATCTTTGCATTTCATCATTAGAAATATTTTAAAAAGAGAAGGTTGGAATAACTAACGGGTGATTTAGCTGGTGGCTTTGTTCTCTGTTTCTGCTTGTACTTCAGGATGGTCCAGTCAAAAACATAATCGAACTCAAATCCTGCAAGAAATTGGAAAATATGTAGATCAAAACATATTACATAATGACCAACTCTGAAAGCCCACATGGATGTGACTTTACAACAAAATGGACTGCTACATGTAATGGACCAAATATTGTTCATTATCAGTTTCCAGGCTTCACAGTCCTCAATGACCAACAAACATAACTTCCCTATCATCCCCACTCTGAACCAGCATTAAAAAGAATTCCTCACAATTAATTAATCAATTACCTTCTCGAGTAAACAAGACATGAAAGAGCCGCTTCAGAAATCCATAATCAGGTCTTTGGTCAAATGTTAAAGAGTGGCAATAATGGAAGTAAGAAGCAAACTCCACAGGATGCGACTTGCACAGTACCTTTAGAAAACAAATGTGATGTCAACAGACTATAAAATAAAGCAAACTCCACAGGATTCAAACTAATACAAGGAACCAAAAATGCATAAAGAATTCAAGTTTGAGAACAACAGCTCTCAAAGCCTGTTTCTTCTTTACATTAAATGAGCTATTGAGGCATTTAGTTATACTTTATTTTCCTTAGAACCTATAGATCCACTGCAACCTTAACTTTATCAACAATTTTCGGTGTTAAACCCCTGAATATTAGACCAGAAAGTAAAATGAAAAACATACTTTATGTTAAAAACGTGAAACAGGCACATTTGTAATTGCATGATTTTCAGGTTACTATATTTTTTTAATTTCAGATGAATGTTTACAAATGTGATATATGATAAGAAGCATGATTTGACAACAGAAGTTTGAGGGAAGGGTCACCTTTTGAAGAGCCAGCCTTGATTAATGCATTTGGCCACATACCTCAATTGGAGTTGATAACTTCTTCTCGCATATTTTATTGTACTTTCGCTTCTTCGTTGCAGCTTTCAGACCCTGCCATGGAAGGCTAAATTCAGAAACCAATTATCAGATAGCCAATGACCAACTAATCATATCATCTAGTTAAAACATCAAACAGCCATCAAAATGATCGAGGTACTAAAGGTAAAAAATGACCATATTTACAACTCCCTCACTAATAAAAATATTTTCTCTACATACACTGTGGCAGCATACCTTCCTCTCAAAAAGTATAAAAGAACATAGCCAATGGACTCCAGATCATCTCGACGGCTTTGCTCTGAGTAGCAAATAAAATGTGAGTGTAGACCAAATGGCTCATTTGATATATCAAACACGGCAACAAAACCTCTCTAACTTACCAATTCCTAGATGAGTATTACAACTTGCATACCTTGCAGTTCCTGTTAAGTTCTTGTTCTCTCTTTTCAAAGCGGGAAAGGGAAAGAAAAATGAAGCTTTAGTTAATCATGGAAGACAAATAAAGATTAAGTGGATGGGTCGTTTACATGATATGCAAAAACAAAGGAACTGAGAAAAGTAGCATACACAGCATCCACAAAGGCAATAAAAAATGTTATATCACAACCATCTAGGTGGTAGTCAAGTGGTAAGGATTTGGGATCAAGGGGTTTGCTCTCTCTGTGGTCTCAGGTTCGAGTCCTTGGTTGCTCATATGATGGCCACTGAAGGCTTACATGGTCGTTAACTTTAAGGCCCGTGGAATTAGTCGTGGTACGTTAACTTTAGGGCTCGTGGAATTAGTCGTGATACACATAAGCTAACCCGGACACCCACGTTAATCTAAAAAAAAAAAATTTATTATATCACAAAAGGTTTTAGCCCAGAAACCTCAGAGGTTTTCTGGTTGTGAACATATCATAGTGTTTTTTATACATGTTATGAAGTCATATCTTGATGCTAAACAAAATAAAAGACCTTTCAGGGATAACAACAAGTCAATAATAACATCTCAAAATAACAATCTGAAGGTAAAAGGCCAAAACTCAATTTAGCAAACCCAAGCCTTTGACAAACTAATTTCGATGAATAGCTAATATAAACTTTATGAATGAAAAAATCAAGGTTCCGACTTCCACTTTTGAATGTTATCTAGCATATACCAGACTGGTAACTGTTAAGCCTGTGAGCAAAAGCCATGTTCATATCTAAACTACAAAGTTTCAAGTATCATGAATGACCTAACCCACTTTCTCACATGAAAACTGCTCAACCATTTTCATTCTCATCTATTTAGACAACCAAACAATTTAGACAACATGAAAACTTAGAGAAGAGATATACAAAACCCACTAGACGCCAAACAAGAGCTTGGTTATGAAAATAGCTACCTGTAAGGAATATGTTGGTGTGTTGTTGTATCCCAATATCTTTTTGCAAGCCCAAAGTCAATGACAAAGACCTGGTGCATGAAACAAAATGAGGGGACATTTATTAGGAAAAAAAAAAACCTCCAATAACTCATTCACATAAAATTAAAACACTATTGCACAAAAACACGAAACAATTACCTGATTAGCTTTCCTTCCAAGACCTATGAGAAAATTATCCGGTTTAATGTCCCTATGCAAAAATCCCTTAGCATGCATGTACTCAATCCTCGCAATCTCCATTCAAAAAATTCAAATAACCAACAATCAAAACTCATCACATTCGAATAAAATAAAACCGAATAGCATCGCCAGTTATTACCATCTGATCAGCCAACATTAGCACCGTTTTAAGGGAAAACTTCCTCCCACAGTACACAAACAAGTCCTCGAGACTCGGACCTAGCAAATCAATTATTAATACATTATCTCCTCCGTCTACTCCACACCATTTTATATTCGCAACACCACCTGATTAACACAATTTCCAAAAATAAAAAACAAATCCCTAGAAAATAAAGTGAATTAAATTTAAAATAACAAGTTTTCACATCCAAAAAGGAAAAGAAAAGAAAAGAAAATCACTAATTTCTGCCGGGGGGGGGGGCTTACTTCCACCACGAAGAATCTTATACAGTTTGGCTTCGTAAAGTAACTGCGGATGCTTTGCACTCCTATTTTCCTACAAATTAATAAAAATTAAAGCTTAATAAAAAACTATGAAAAATCAAAATTAAAAGAAAAGAAACAAAGACTTACAATTTTGACAGCAACGATTTCACCAGATTGAATGTGAGTAGCTGTTAGAAAGTAACAAAAGAGAAATTAAGAAAATCAATCCTGGAGGAGTAAACCATGTGAGAGAGATAAAGAAAAGGAAGTACCGAGAAAGATTTCGCCAAAGGATCCGCTTCCAATTTTGCGAGCCAATTTGTACTTCTCTCCTATAATTCTCTCCATTTTCATGCATTCAATCTATAATTTTCTTTATTTATCGTACGAAAGAGAAAACAAGCATAAAGAGGGAAGGTCGCGACGACGACGACGACGAAGAGGAATCGCCGCATTTGATCTGACAATTTTTTTCAATATTATTGTAAATTATGTTTTATAATATGAAACAAAAAATTCAAATAAAATACATTATTAAAAATATAAACTATTATTAAATATATAAACTACAAAATAAGAAATATAATGCATAAAAACAAAAAGTGAAATTTCAATCAAAAGTTGAATAAAAATCACAAAATGAAATGTCGGTTGTTATGTAATTAAAAACTTCAATCCTGGTATTTGAGTTACAACTAAACCTAATTGTTTTTTCTCTTAAAGATTATGATATTTTTGAGGTATATAAATTAATTAATTAATAACTGAGAAAAACTAAACGGCCCGGGTAATTCATGGAGCATCATCCTTGTCGTAGTATATTCACTGGCACCGTAGATTGAACTGTATTTTTTTCTTTTCTTTTTTCTAATTTAATCATTCCATATTTATTCTATTAATGATTAGAATTGATGACTTGTTTCTAAAAATTCAATGTCGGTTTCACAGGGAAAAGAAAACATTTTTCCATTTTTCTCAGAATGATTTTGTGAAAGATTATTCGGGTTTTCTATTTTCAAGAGATCAAAACTTATGGGATTGTTATTAATCATTAGGGGAAAAGGAATCCCACATAAGAGAAAAAAAAAAAAAAAAAAAGCTGCAGATTTCTATGGGAGGAGAGAGAGAGAGAGAGGCCAATTGTCGATGACTCCACGGGGTTAAAAACATAACAAGGGCCATCTAGAATGTAATAGTGCGTCAAGATGATTTCAGGGATATCTATTTTTGCTGTGTTTAAAATAAAATTATTTTATAAAAAATATTTTTAGTTGAGAATAAAAATGTTTTAATATTTATATATTAAAATTATAGCATAATTAAAAATAATTTAATATATTTAATTAAAAAAATATTTTTTAAATTAAGATTATAAAATAATTTAAAATATATATATATATATATATATTGATAGTTTTTAATTTAAATATTGTAAATTTAACTATAGCTATTACATCATGAAATAAATAATATTTATATCAAATAGTTTTTATTGTTTTATTAAACTATTTATAATTCCATCACATATGAAATACATCCAACAAGGATTAGAGTTTCTTAAGTTTCTTAAACATGCAACAACATTAGGTAAAATATCATCAGGGAATTGTGATTGAATTCTGCAAATGCTACGTCATCAAGCGATCTTCTTTTTATTTTTTGAATAAAATACAATTAAAAATAAAAATAAAAATTAAGTTTTTTTTTTTTTAACTAAGTCGAATTTGGTTCAATGCATTTAGCTTTGAACAAGACTTGATCAACCTGAAACAATAACCGGAATAGCAAAAAGTGACTCATTGTGCACGTAAACGGTGGAGTCACTTTCCATTGCCCACAGGTTTGCGAAAGCAACTGAGAGTTGCTTTCCACAAACCTGCGATTTATTCCAAATTTTGTATAAGCCCCACATGAATAATGAAATGCATTTTAGCATTACCAAATATTTAGTTTGTGCAGTTTGCTTTAAAAGTAAAAACTATCGGGTAAATAAACGGGCACTAAAACTATTTTTGAAGACAGGATCGTTGCAGGCACTGCCGCAAAGTAATAGGTTCTCCCACAAGCTAGCACGTGGTTGCCATGTGTGATTTTTTATTTTTTTTACTTTGGTTCCTAATTTCATAAGCACTCATTAATTGGGTTCTGGGTTTCACTCATGCCTATCCAAAATATTTTTTTCAATTTAATTTTTAATTATCCAAAATCTTTTTTTATTTGGGCTTTAATTCCATTAGACAAAAACCCATAAAAATTTTAATTACCTAATGAAGGCCTACCATAGTAAAGTTGTTTATGATAGTCTTTATCATAGCTTGGTCTCACAAAACCTTACATCTATATGTCAAATAAAATTAAGATAATATTTAGGGTTAATTACATTTGACCTTTTTATAGTTTATTTATTTTATTATTTTACTTTGCTTCTAAATTTTATTTTACATCCTTTATTAATTTATTTTTTTAAATTAAATAAAAATATCAAACTATTCTCATATATATATATATATATATATATATATATATATATATATCAACCACATGGTTTTTCTCACCTCTCCATGAATATAAAATCTCATCAAAATCTAATCTTAAGTGTTTTTATACAAAAGCTGAGAATCTTGACGATAATTTTATGTTTTGAAAGTTTGATTTTTTTTTAATCCTTAACTTGATAGTTAATTCAAAAGGCTATTTGGCTATGTATTTGCAACAAATTTTTTATTTAACCATGATTTCATCTTGTTTAGTTACAAAACAAAACGCAATTTTCATGCATGAATCCAACTATAAAATGCATTCAAAATTTAATTTTGTAAAAGCTATCTCTACATACTTTTTGCAAATGCTACGTTTCTACTCTATTTATTTTGTAGATAGGAGGCCGCAAGAAAAAAGAGAAGGAGAAGAACAAAAATAAAGGAAAAAAAGGATCGTCGTTCATCAATAGAGCAACAGCTCTCTTTCAGCACTAGCCTCCGCTGTTCCCACCACTGTGCTACTTTCCCTTCCCCTTCTCCTTCATTTGTCTTTTGCACTCTTCATGTTCACGTTGCATGCGAACAATGAAGAGTGATCAGCCTTCGTGTTTCCACCATCTCTCAATCCATCATTGTCGCACTACTCTTTCATTTTCCCTTCTCCTTCTACTTCATTTGGGTTGCTCTTCATTGTTCGCATTGCATGGGAGCATCAAAAAGTGTCTCCACTATTCATGGTCAGATCAGGTTTATCTAAACCTAAATGCGTTAGATTGGTCCGACCTAGTAAAATAAAAAAATTCTTAAATATTGTGTTTTATTAAAAAAAAAAAACTAATGTTTAACATTAGTCAATGACACTACATAATTTCATTAGAGAGGAAATTGCATGATGACGTAACATTTGTGAAATTTGATTGCAATCTATTCCGATGATATTTTACCTGATATTGTTGCACGTTTAGGAAATCATGAAAACTGTAGTCCTTGTCAAATGAATTTTGTGCGTAATGGAATTACAGATAGTTTAACAGAACAATAAAAAATATTTTATATAAAGTATTGTTTATTTAATTATATAATAGCAGTAGTTAAATCTATAATATTGAACTTAAAAATCATCAATATATATATATATATATATATATTATTTTATAACCTCAATTTCAAAAACATTCTTAACCAAACACATCAAACAACTTTTTATTTAACCTCAATTTTAACAACATATTTAATCAAATATATATTTTAAAAAACTAGTCTCCATTAAAAGTATTTTTTCTAAAATAATTTTTTGAAACCACAACAACAAAACTTACCACTTTACCAAACATTCCTTTTGGAGTGTTTGATATTATGATTGTTGTTGTGATTGTAGTTTAAAAAAAATTATTTTATAAAAGGTATTTAATTGGTTATAGTTAAAAAAAATATTTTATAAAAAGTACTTTTAATTAAGATTAGTTTAAAAAAATATATATTTAATTAAAACTGTGGATGAAATTGATATTAAATAAAAAATAATTTAATATATTTGGTTAAAAATACTTTTCAAATTGAAACTACAAAATAACTAAAAAAATATATATTAATATTACTGATTTTTAATTATAATGTTATAGATTTAACTATTACACATTTAATATTTTTTTACTATTCCATTAAATTATGTATAATTTCATAACATACTAAATATATTCAACAAAGACTATATTTTTTATAATTTTTTTAAGAGCACAACAATATCAAGTAAAATATAATTAGGAATAAAATTGAGATTGCGATCAAATTTTGCAAATGCTACGTCATCAAATGATCAAAATATAATTATAAATAATTTTTTTATTTTATTAAATTGAACTAGTTGAATGCAATTATAAATAATTTTTTTATTTTATTAAATCGAACTAGTTGAATGCATAACTTTAAACTAACTTTAAACTGAATTAATTTGACAAAAACAATAAAATTATACATAATTATTCACGTAAATAGTAGAGTATAACAAAAACAATAAAATTATACATAATTATTCATATAAATAGTAGAGTATAACTATACTGTTGATAAGTTTACTAAGCACAAAGCAGTTAGGAGCTGCTTGTTGTACCATAATTGATAGTGGACTCCACTGATAAAAACATGTTTTTGCTGTATTATCAAGTAATAATAATAATTGTGGTTGTGAATGAATCTCACGTAACAACAACATCATACAGCACCTTAAAAATTGAATTAGGTACCTCCATATTAATTGTGGAATCAATTTTCGTTGACAAGAGAGGCACATATGGTATTTGGGCAACTAATCAAACAATGCTAATTTAATAATTATTGTGTCAACTCACTATGCTATTATTGAAAAAAAACTCATCAGTAGCGCATCACTTTGCTCTGGTTGTGGTTAAAAAATGAAACCGGCTTTCCATCAGTACCTGGCCCATCATTATCATTTTTGTAGTTCCTCTTATCTTTTTCCGTAGTATGGGGAAGATGCAGTGAGTTTCATTTTCAACGCCACTCTCTCTCTCTCTCTCTCTGTGTCTCCGAAGAAAAGAAGATAAATGGGTTGCCCATCAGAACATGGACAGATGATCACAGAACCACTCTTGAGGAACCGAAAGGGTGGCATCAGAACCTTACCCTTCATCCTAGGTGCTCACTACCTGTATAGTACACAGGCATATTTGTCTAACCTTAGGATTATTTTTTTTCTCGAATTATGTGATGAATTTTCTATTTTCTGACAGCGAACGAGGCATTCGAGAGTCTGGCAAATTACGGGCTATTTCCAAACCTGATACTTTATTTGACAAGTGAGTATAGGATTGATGCTGCAAAAGGGGCACATATTTTGTTCCTTTTGTCATCTGCCATAAATTTCACGCCAATTCTTGGAGCTTTTCTTGCTGATACTTACGTGGGTCGGTATCGGATGATTGGTTTTGGATGTCTGGCTAGCCTTCTGGTAATATTTCTGTTTCTTTCCAAGGTCTATTTTTT